CTTCACTCATTCCCTCGTTACTTCGATTCAACAAGCAGTCCTCGGACTAAGAGTCGGACGCCATGGGTCTCTACCAGAAGTTCACGCCCAAGATGGGTGCCGTTGCGAAGAGCAGGTCCGACGTCGAAGCTGCTCAGGCTGAGGCTCCTCACCTGAAGAAAGTCAACTGGAGGTCCGACGCCGGTCTCCGCAAGCTCTACTTCTACGCCTTCTTCATCTGTATCGCTTCTGCGACCACAGGTTACGATGGGTAAGCCTTCCCATTGCTGTTCTCCTATTGACCAAAGCTAACCCACCCCAGTTCCATGTTGAACAACCTCCGTATTCTGCCCAGGTGGACGGAGTTCTTCGGCGACCCAAAGGGAGACACTCTCGGTCTCTTGACTGCTCTTTACTCCATCGGTTCGATTGCCTCGCTTCCCGTCGCTCCCTTCATTGCCGATCGCTTTGGACGTCGCGCCTGCATTACCTTCGGATGTGTCATCATGATTGTCGCAGCTTCCATCCAGGCCGCTGCTAAGAACCTCGACTATTTCATGGGTGGACGTTTCCTCATGGGTTTCGGAAACTCGCTTGCTCAACTCTCGTCTCCCCTGCTCCTTACCGAACTCTGCCACCCTCAGCATCGTGCTCGTGTCACTGCCGTCTACAACTGTTTGTGGAACGTTGGTGCCATCGTCTGCACATGGTTGACTTTCGGTACCAAGCGCATTGAAAGCGACTGGTGCTGGCGTGTACCCGCTCTTACCCAGGCTGCTCCTTCCGTCATTCAGTTGGCCGCTATCTGGTTCATCCCCGAGTCCCCACGTTGGTTGATCGCCAAGGAGAGGAACGAGGAGGCTCTTGCCATTCTTGCCAAGTACCACGCCAACGGCGATGCCAACAATGCTACCGTCCAATTCGAGTTTGCTGAGATCAAGGAGACTCTACGCCTCGAGTTCCAGTACCAGAAGACCTCCACCTACCTCGACTTCTTCAAGACCAAGGGCAACAGGTACAGGCTCATGCTCCTCGCATCTCTCGGTCTCTTCTCCCAATGGTCTGGCAACGGTCTTGTCTCCTACTACGCCACCGATGTCTACGACTCCATTGGTATCACAGACGCTGACACCCAGCTCGGTATCAACGGTGGTCTTACCATTCTCTCTCTCATCGTCTCCGTCTCCTGCGCTCTGCTTGTTGATCGCGTTGGTCGTCGCCCACTCTTCATCTCTGCCACCGCAGCCATGTGCGTTACCTTCATCGTTTGGACTATCGCTTCGTCTCAGCAGGAGGCTACCAAGAGCAAGGCTGCTGGTCAGGCCGTCATTGCCATGATCTGGATCTTCTCCGTCGCTTACGCGCTGGCTTGGTCTGGTCTGCTTGTCGCCTACACTGTCGAGATTCTGCCCTTCAAGATTCGTGCCAAGGGTCTCATGATCATGAACTTGTTCATCCAGATCGCTTTGACCATCAACCAATACGTCAACCCTCTCGGATTCGAGAATCTCCACCCTACCTGGAAGTTCTACACCATCTACGCCGTAAGTCTTACAACTATAATCCCTAAGATGAATTATTTGCTAACTGAAATCAGTGCTGGATCTTCCTCGAGCTCATCTTCGTCACTGTCTTCTACGTCGAGACCCGTGGTCCCACTCTTGAGGAGGTCGCCAAGATCTTCGATGGTGATGAGGCTGAGGTCGCTCACATCGACATTGAGCACGTTGAGAAGAACGTCATGACTTCCGGCTACGAGAAGGATGACAACGTCCGCATTGAGCAGGTCCGATCATCCCAGTAGATGATTTGATCTCTCGTGTGTATATAATTGCTGCTTTGATTGATGTGGAATGATGGTGGTTGGATGATTTTGCTATATACCAAGTATGCATGTCCTTCGCTAGTACTAGTGATTGATATGCGTCCTCTTCTCATATTGTATCTCGCTCTGTGACTTGTACATCATGCGTCAATAACGCCCTGCTCCATCTGACTAACCTCCCTTACTTGTCGCCTTGCCTCCTTTCTCTGTCTTCGTCTTTCCATCTTTGCCTTGATAGTGGCTTTGATACCCGAGCAGCACATTACTGAAGAGAACAGTGCACTTCCCATCCACAGCAGCGCGTTGATGAGGTCGCACCACACAGCTCTCTTCATGCGCCCCACATCCACGTTCTGGTACCCCTGCTCGATATCCCCGTTTAGATAAATTGTATAGAAGAGGCCGAAAGAAGCAATCCATAAGACCGCCAAGATCCATTCCGGGATCCAAGTGACACGGTAGTTGCGTACTGTTACACTGTCGATGACTAGCACCAATAGTGTAAGACCAAAAATAACTTGCGCGAATATGAAGTCCGTCTTCGAAGTGCTCGTTGCATGGCTCAATTCAATGGCGTAGGATATGCCCGATGCGAGTGCGAAAGCGAGTTGGAAGATACGGATGCTGAGACGGAAGAGGGATACGGCGGGCTTGTCTAGTTTGGCATTCACTGCGGACTTGAATGAGGACGGGGAGATGAATTGCGACTTGAAATAAGGTGGTGGTGGTACGGATGGTATTGAGCGGGTCGAGGAGGCCGGTGATGACGTTGTGGATGGCTTGTTGTAGACGGGCTCGGCTTGCTTTGGTTGCCCCATTGTAGTTGCTTCGCTCGAGTGGAAGTACAGACTCTTGTAGTCGAGGTCGCGAAGAAAAGCGTGAAGATGGTTTAGCCCAGAGCACAGCAGCGGGTCAGCCTGAGGTTATATGCATTCCGAGTGCTGACGCGGCTGGGTTGGCTAAAATTCGGCTCACTACATGAGGAAGAACTTTACGCTGTATTATGCTTTATTTAGTCCTGCTAAGTGGAGCGCGATGAGTGTGCCAGACATTCGTCCCTAGAAAATGCGTATTCTAAGAGAACACGAGCGAATGCGAGGGCTGGCGCACTAGCGTCAACATCGGAGAGAAGAACCCGCGTCGGATCAGCAACGATCAATGCAACGCCGCTTTACCCATCGTGGGGGGCTTTAGCTACGAAAAAGCTCATGATTAGTTGACGCGTTTGAACGGGTGTCGCCAGATCGGTGTTCGAAGGATTCTCGTGCTGAAGATGCTAGCGACGATGCATGTCAACCTAGGAAAACACTGGACACCCTGGAGCCTACATCAATGTTGGGTCAGCTACTTCGCATGCTATCATCTTAATGTAGTCTGCAGAGCTGTTTAGATTTTTCTTGTATGAGGTTGTTGCGCAGCCCTGAGGAGTTCACGCTAGCAGCGATGACATCCATGGATGCCACTAGCGGTTGCCGTCTCTTTTAATACGCGCTCCTCGCTCAGAATACGCATTCTGGTGTCTCAACATCTCCAGCTTCATCAGCAACACCAACATGCAGCAAGATTCGCCACTCACGGAAGCTACATCAACTTCAAGAGGAGGATCTCTTCTGAATTCACGGGAAACTTCTCCATTCGAGCAGAATGGGAAAGTTACGGCAAGAACGTCAAAGATAACGAGGAAGTCTCATCGCAAGTCGCGGGCTGGATGTGTTCATTGCAAGACGCGTCGCATCAAGGTACGTACCTAGATATTATTTGAGTATCTCGAAGATATTTGCGACGTCTGTCTTGAACAAGGCAGCAGGTTTGGTTTCCTTGTATACAGCATGCCGAGCTCTCGTTGAAGGACAAAGTTCACGTTCAACGTGCTAATGCAGTAGCTAGTGCGATGAGGGTAAACCGTCCTGTACCAATTGCAAACGGCGGCAAGTCCGCTGCGAGTATCCGGCAACATCTATTGCCGCTCCAGCAATCAACGACTTACGACAACCCGGCGGCCTTCCACTATCTGAGATTGAACTCACGTATCACTGGACGACGACTACATGCCACTCGTTGTCAGCATGGCCTGCCGGTGCTGCACGCGTACAATCGTCCACAGAGGAAATCGCATTCAAGAACGAGCATGTGCTACACCTCATCTTCGCATTCACGGCTCTCCATCTCGCCACATGTCGGCCAGACCGCAAGGAATCGTATACCGCAACTGCAAACCACCACTATGAATGCGCCCTAGCACTCGTCACTCCAGAAATAGCCAAACTCAACCCCTCCAACTGCGACGCGGTTCTTCAATCTGTCCAATTGATCTGCTTTGTCAGTTGGGCAAGAGGACCACAGGCTGGCGAATACCTTGCTTTTGGTAAGCACGGTAGATCGGAGTGGCTGGTCATGTTTCGCGGCATCCGTACGACGCTCAGTACCTTTGAGATAGACAACTTCGCGAAGACACATGCGCCGGCAGTCCGTAACAAAGGTCGGCTTTTACCAGTAACAGACGGGCCATTCGAGTTCGAAAGGCATCTTCAGGAGTTAAAAGAGCACATCGGCATCGCGTCTGAGCCTGCTGATCGCGACGACAACGTGCTCAGCGTGAACGTCCTCCAGGAGATGTATTCGAACCGCTACGGTGGCAAGGACGGTGAATACCACGTGGCGTTTGGATGGCTCTACCGAATGAGCGATGACTTCCTCGATCGCCTACAACAATGCGATCCGCTGCCACTCATCATCTACGCGCACTTTGTCGTTCTAATGCACGACATGGAAAGATTTTGGTATATGAAAGGGTGGACACACCATGTTATGAGTGGAATCTTCGAAGCTCTGCCAACGGAGCATAAGCCCTGGATACGCTGGCCCATGACCTGTGTCGGGTGGATAGCACCTTGATGCATCTACTATCTGTGTGTGGTAGGCTCAATTGGCTTCTAAGAAGCGTCACGTGTACTTTCAATTGAAGTGTATGTTTTAGATTGTTTTTCTGAAGTTTAGGGCTGCTTTCCACCACCAAGCATCGTGTTCATCTCTGAAGCGTCACATCGTGTCCAGACCCAAGGCAGTCATACCAAGGCAGTCACGATACCCGCGGTTGAGCATGCTTGCTCACCTAGTGCGGCCGTGGTGAAGGTTCAATCAAAAAGACCCAATTCCTATTCATCGCAATCGGCCGGCGCGTGTTGTTGCCCTGAGATCAAGCGGAGCGACCGTGAGCCTCCGTTCGGTCTGACCTACGGTCATCCGCACGAGGGTCGCGTCCACCAGCGCCGGAAGGACGATAGGGCAGACTTGTATGCATAGCAACACGAGTATCTCCGTACCGACCCATACCGCCCAAGTGGTATGACCTATGAACGGGATCTAAAGATGAGTGTAGAAAGTCAGTATTTGTCTCACATACAATTCGTACAGGAACGTTACTGACAAGGTACATAGTCGCCAGTCGGAAGATCGTAGGTGATCGCTAGCTGGGGTTGCCAGAGAAAGGCTACTGCCTCTGAAAGGGTGAACATGACCGGCGCATAGGAGCGTTGGGCGTTTATGACGTTAATGGCCGCCTCCTTCCTCTGCCTCTTCCTCTCCTGTTTCTTTTGTTGGCGCTGGGCAAGAAGATCTGCAGGGAGTGGGGGCTTTAAAGGAAGGGCCCATCGTTCTTCGCCGATTTCAGTACCCTGCCCGCCGCTGGATTGACCTAGAGGGCGCTCGCCAAGTTTTCCGGTCATCTTGTTCTGTAGAGCGTACTTTGAGTGGCGCTGCTCTTCGGCCTGATCCTGGAGAGCTTTTGACCTAGACGAATATGTGGGGAACACATCGTCGAGCTCGTCGCTCAGCGTCAAGTCAATGATTTCGGATGTCTGACTGGGGAAGGACTTGGCTCGGGAGCTTTCGATAGGTGCTTGGGCCTTTGGCTGCGTTCTCATATATCGCACATCGTCTGCCGCAGTAGTGTCGTCGGCCTCCTCTTTTGCTTGCGCTGCCATGGCGTTCGGTCCCCTCTGTCGCTTGGTGTGAAGCTGCGGCTGAGACTGCGACAATTCGGGATCCGCTCGCGCGCGTTTCTTGGTTCTCGCCATGGTGAAGCGAGGTGCAGTATCGTTATGGGTCAGACGTTATAGTGTGTAGTACGAAGAAAGCCCGCGCATTCAGACAGTTCAGACCAAGAGGTCGCAGTCGCAGTGAGTTGCGATGGTTCTGCAAGTTGTAGGTCGCCCAGATGAGGTGAGTCCCAAAATTGCCGCTTGGACCACCAACAAACGCTCGTAGAAGGCGCAACCACGTGAGGGCAGCTATTGTACGGCTGTCGTGTGATCAAACCCGACCTTTTCTACCAGTCTTGGCATTGAAGTCCTGGAGTGCTTGTCTGAAGCCAGGCCAGGCGTCTCTGACCAAGGGATTGCCCTCTAGCGTTCGTATATAGTTTTCAGGTACGTCATGGAGTCGCTTTCCTAGATGAATGCCTTTGTGGAATCTCCATGTGTCTGATGCCGAAAGAGCGTTCGATCGAGACCCTTGTGCGTTCCGTGTGGGAGGCTGTCGTGGCTGCGATAGCTGAGCTTGTGTCTGTTGGGTTTGAGTCTGGTCTGGCCGAAGACGTGCCTGCCCCGGCCTGTGGTACTCGAATGCCTCCAAAAGGCCCGCATGCTTGTCCCTGTATTTGTATAGCTGACCACCGATCATTCTGAGGTAGTTTTCGTTCACATCGGTGAACCGCTCGCCCCTGTGCATGCCGAACGTGAAGACGTAGTCGCGTGCCGGATTGTCCTCCGGTGTTGTCGGCCCATCTGTGGACTCTTCGCTTGTGTCGCTGCTGATGCTGATGACGCTCGATCGCCGAGACGCTGTGGATGGTGCGAGGGAGATGTATGCGGCCGAATCGGCAGAGGTATCCTCCTGGTAGAGACCGTAGCGCACTCGCGTAGTTGAGGTACTGAGTGGGTAATCGCGCAGATAGAGCTGCCTGTATACTGCGACCGCGGCTGCCTCGGTAAACATTATCTGCGCTCGTGGTTGTCTTCCCCGACCGGTCGTGGGCAGTGGCGCCTGCACGTTGATCTCGATATCCTCGGCCTCATACATGTCGTCGTCGAGCAACTCATGGCCGAATTCGTCTGAGTCGGAACTGTCGCCGTCCATATCGAGATCAAAGTCGTCGTTGCGTGAGGACCTGTAGAGGGCTTCGAAGTTGTTGCCACCAGAGCATAGAGGTATGAAGTCTTGGCCCGATTCGTTCCTGCCATTCTTCTGCGCAAAACGTCCGCCACGTCCGCCTCCTCGCCCACCCCGTCCGGCGCCACCACTGCCTCCTCCACCTCCTCCGCGGCCTCCACCACGCCCGCCACGTGCTCCGCCGCGCTCGCTACGTCGAGCGTTGTGTATTGCCTTTTGGCGTGCTTTGTGTCTTATCGGGGGCGGACCGGTTGGCTTGGACCCTCTGGATTTCCGGTTGGCAGCCGCACTGGCGCGCCGTTGCTGGCAGGGGCGCGACATTGCGACGGCGATGTTTGGCTGTGAGTTAGTTGAGAAGAATGACGAATTCCACTTGTGTGCTCAACGTCAGACTTCGAGACGCTCGGCCCCACGACTACCGATTCGGCATCCCGAAATTGCCCTTTCTCCCCCTGCGCACGTCCAACACCATGGACCCTGAATTTGTACGCGCCTGTTGCGCACCTGGGCACATATTCACCGACCTCGAAGACTTATGCTTTGTTCAAAAAGATGTATGAAGATGGGACGGACGCTGCCCTCAATGCTCGCCTGTATCTGAACCCTTGCCCAACACTGCGACAAGAGGCCATGCTAACCCAAATATCCTTGCTTTGTCTCGAAAGCCGTATTGAAAACAAAATTTACCTACAGCATTCAATGGCTATCGCCGGGGTGATCACAGAAGCTTCGAACTGGCTAACGTACTGACATAGATTCCTTCCAAGCGACGCAGCGACTTGTTTGCATCAGTCGTAGGTATCTTTGCCAGCCTTCTTTCGCTAATCTCCAGAGCACTCACCAGGGCGTTTAACACGCGGAGGCCAAGCCAATGCATCCACGCGCGCACGATGTTGATTTTGCTGAGCTCTGAAGTGATGTGGCCGTGGATATGCAGATGCTTTCCTGCGCAGTGACATTGGACCAAGGAGGCAACAACGTTGCAGTCTCTTGGAGAACGAGGGATCTTCGTTGTGGATAGGAAACATCAGAGACTTGAAACAGCGAAGTCAAGAGCTCAAGCCAGTATGCATATGACGTATCTTCGTCTTCCTCTGCTATCATCTTGAAGATGCGCATGCCTCGAGGATGTTAAGGCCATCTCTACGACGATCATGACTTCATTGCGCCGCTCCCAATTTCCTGGGCCCCTCGACCCTCGAGCACCGCCCATCTCACGCAACGTTGCCCAGCGCAATAACTCGCGCCGCCCTCATGAATTCACATTCTTTGCAGACCCCCACATTCCTTGCGGCTCTACGATGCATCTCATTGCACAGGGTGGATGCTTGCCGCTGACGTTGCCGCCAGAGCACTCTATTTGAGCCACCGTGCCGCAACCCCGCATATATCAGCCTTGCACAACCGCCGCATGGTCCGAGTACTCAAGCGGGATCGCCACACCAATATAGTAGCGATGAACAGATAGACAGGGTGAAGGGCGGGTAGTCCGGCGTAGTTACCCTGGAACGAAATCTCTCTACTCTTTAATAAGGTACAACAGTACCTGCTCGTCAGCGCGTCCTGTACCTGCATTCACTCTCCCTTGCATCTTTCAGCTGGTCTTGGATCCGGTTATCCGCTCGTCTTTGTCTCACTTGACTGACTGCGTCATCAACTCTACTTCTTCTTCATCGAAACAAATACCCAACACTACCAGAAGCATTCGCAAGCAGGTCTTCAAGATGCATACCAACACCTTTGCCATCCTCTCTTCGGCTCTCTTCCTCGCGCCCTCACTATGCGCAGCGCGCGTCCTTCCTCCTCAACCCCCGCGCATTCTCCCCCGCGGTGATGCACAGTCATTGCTATCGTCGTCCGCTACATCGCTGGCCGACAAATGTAGCTTCACCCTCTTCCATAAGCAACTCATGACCGCTGCCCGACCAGCCTCGACAAGCGATGGCAAGATCAACTACGTCCAAGTCGATAGCTTGGAAGACCACATGAACGGAATCACCATCGATCTCGCTTCTTCGAGACCCCGGGCGGAGCGCAACTCATATGTGAAGGTCTCTGCGACGCAGATCTTCGAGATCGATGGACTGGTGGATGACACCAAGTTGACCATCTACGGCTCCGATGGAGAAGATGCGCTGGTCTTTGAGTACGATGGGCTGAAATGGGCGACCGAGGGCGGGAGCAAGAAGTTGCACCCCGAAGCGTGGTGTAACACCGGTTCCTGGGCGGAGAGTGGGAATGGAAGCAGGGTATGTTATTCCTGGAGGTTCACATACGAGGACCACATTGCTAACAATCATTTGCAGCAACGGTCAATGGAGTGCGCGTTCCCTTGCGCCAAAATTGAGGACGACGAAGAGAATGAGAGGGAAGAGCTACGCTAGATCACTGTGATCCAACGTAGGGCTCTGTGTCAGCATTCGATATGCTGCTCATCTGATCAGAGCAAGACTCTGGAATTTCTTTTGTGATCACTTCGATTCTCCTATACTTGATACCCATCCAAAAAGAATGATAGTCACATCCAATGTGAAAGGTGTAAAGACCATTGAAACTGAATTCATTCCATTTTGAAACTACAATAGTCTAATTCCATCGGTCTGATTGGGTGATGCCAGCATTACAAACTCTAGAAACGGAAAATAATCTAAACTACAATCGGAAGTCAACTCAACGCTATCCTCCTCCCTACCTGTTTCCGAACGTCCAAGCATCTCTAGTCACACCAAACCACTCCATCTCCTCATCTGCCTTCTTTCCACACCGACAACATCCCCCTTCCCTGCTCTCTTCTTCCTCAGCCGGCATCATCATCCGCTTCTCCAACCACCTCGCCAACCTCTCATCATCACACCCCGTAACCTTTGCAACACCCACACCCCTAACCCCAGTAAACAGTTTCAAGACCGAATTGTCCGCCCCATCAAACATACTCTGCCAAACCTTAACCTGGAGAAACTCCGCACCGGAGAACGCAGCCGTAGCTTGACTACTGGTAAACCGGGGATCGGTATCCAGACGTAGTTCAAGCTGCCAGCGCGTGATCTTCGCAATGTTGGTTGGAGACAAGATTGGCTTCTCGGGTAAGGTCAGATGTGGTAGGGCGGTGAGGAGGGAACGGTGGGCGTGGAAGACGTGTGTTGTGTATAAGAGATCCTGGGCTTCTTCGTTGATCTTGCGACATGTGCGGAGGATGGCTGGAAAGACCGTTGGAGGTCTAGATGGCGTGGAGTATGTAGCGAGACCTTTGTGGTGTGGTGTGTTCGGACAGAGTAGCTCCTCGTAGATCTGGTTTCGGAGTTCTGCTGGTAGACGAAAGAGGATTGAGGTTGGCTGTGGGTTTGTTGCGCCTCTTTCCCTTGTGGTTGTTTCTTGTACCATTGGAACAAGAGGCTGGGTCTGTACTGGTTCGTGCGTAACTGGGATGAAGGAGAATGTTGAGGTGGTATTCGGCGTGCTTGCAGGAAATGGCGATGCATCATCGGTCGCATGCATTCTGGGCATGTTGAAATGGGCTGCGAAGTAGTACGCTGTTGCCATTTTTGGCACTTTTGCTCCCTTCTTCGTCTAGACTAGCGATGAATTGGAGATGGTCGATCGATAGCAGTGCTTAACCGTCGTCGTTGATGTATTCCGAGGTTGACCACTCGCAATTTGCAGCTCTGGTGGGTCAAATCGTTTGGTTACTAGTCAATATATATTCCTTCAAGATCCTATGACGGTATGCTGTTCGTTGCTGGTATCTTGATTTGTCTTTGTTCCGATCGGGTGATGCTGACTCGGGGAGTTGTTGCTGACGGAGGTCCGACAGTCAATGATGATAAGCTTGGAACTATGTTATACAACACTGTCGGATCAATTCAATCCCTATACAAAGCAGTTCGTGCGTGATATCGTTCTCAATCACCTTATCGTCAGCATCGATGTCTGCTCGCCGTCACGTTAAGATTCCAAGCCTCGGTCCGAAAAGGGCAAGATCGTCTGCGAGTAGCGTGAAAGTCGCGCCACATACATGGGGTATCACCCCACCGCCATTTGTTGACCTGTGTAATTGTCTCTTTGGCTGTTACACCCATCGCACGATGAATTCTCTGAGGCAATAGTCCAACGCCTCCATATTTACAGAGTACGTGTATCGCACAGGCAGAGCGCAAAGTTGAGTTGGCGCTTCGGTCTTGCCCAGGTGGGAACAACGCGTTGGCATGCTAACCCCGCCCGCGGGGGATTACCGCCGCAGCAGGCGTCACGTGGAGGCACTAACCGCCGCCGTGATTACTAAAAGTGTCGTATCCTCATCACCCATCACTCCTTTGCTCCAAAACTGGCATCGACCAACACAGTGAAAACAATGAAAACTTAGCACGTTGGGCTCAGACACCTATCTCTGCACGTGGTTGGGATTGCAATTGATGAGAACGGTGTTACATTGACGATACAGACATATTATTCTAGTAGAGCCGGCCTTCTCCCCAGCCGACTCGGACGATCCACAAGGACCATACGCTCCACTCTCAGTTCATCACGCTCAAGCCGCCGTCTCCCATCATGATCCACACGTCTCCACCATGCCTTCAACAGCATTGTTATTTGGCGCCAAGTACGGCTGTTCTGCCAGAGACGATTTACTGGCATGGCTCGCGGAACTGAACGGTGAAGCCGCCAACGCTGGACCACTTGCCGCCAGCGTTGCAGGCTGCGCCGTCCTTGTTACGCTTCTTGTCCACGCAGACAACCTGGCAGTCTTCCGCAGCACCAAAGTTGTTCTGTAAAGGAGCGAGGCCGCAATTAGCTCAATCTTCATATTCAAGAACTTTGAGAGACTCACGACACTGGCGCAGCAGTGCGAGCCATCCTGGAAGAGACATTGGCAGATGTGGGAAGCTTGAGCTCCGAACACGATCGTGAAGAAGACCGCGGCGACGGAGAGAAGGCGGACCATGGTGACGGATTGAGAAGAGAGTGGGTGAGATGAAGTAGGGTTGGGTGTTGAAGTGGTGAGAGAAGTATTGCTGGTTGCTGTGATATCTTCACTGCAGAGGCGAAATCACCTGCCTTTTTAACATGTTCTCCTGCATCTATCACATTGTCCTGAAGGCGAAGCATTTCGTTAGTATCGTGATAGCAACACGGGTAAAGCGGATTGATTGGTCTGTTTTCGGACCTTCTCGTGTATCTCTTTCGGACCTTCTACTACCTGCTCAACTAGGTACCAATCTCGGCTTGCTTCCCCATACTGTTCTTTACACACCGCAAATCGCAAAGAACAGAGAAGATCTTAAGCCTCATCGGTACATCTTTCGACGATACTTCGGTGGCCATTAGCAGTGGCCCAGGCACTGGACCCCTTAGCTTAGCTGAGCTTGTCTTTCTAAGCCAAGATAGGACTTGGTCCTCAACACGTGGTTATGGTATACGAGGTGTACTCGGGCTTCGCGTGTCAGGTACCGTGTTCATCGCATGGCTTCGTCTAATCAGAACACCCCTGAGGTCGTATTCTGCTCGGCCCTCAAGTGTCAGGGAAACAATGGCGATGACCGTGACACTTGATTTCACCGCAGTCACCTGCAAGATAGACTGGCTCATTGATCCAGGATTCGCTCAGTCAATACATTCGTTCTGACCACTAGATGTCTTGGATTCTATAAAGTACCTAGACTCGTCCACTTCATCCGTCCACTCGACTCCAAATCAACCAATCTCCATCTTCTTCCAGATCAACATCAAGATGGTCCGCCTCTCCGCCGTCTTCGGCCTCCTCCTTACCATGGCCGTAGGTACCCAGGCCTCTATCTACTGCCAGTGCTTGTACCAGGACGGCTCCCATTGCTGTGTCGCTGTACGTGCCTCGAACTCCTTAGGAAGAGAGACACGGGACTGACCAAAACTTTAGGATAACAATGGCGGCTGCACCAGATCTTGCTTGAACGTCGCGCCGCTGTTTGAGGACGACAAGCCCTGCAATGCTGGAGGAAAACACTCCGACGTGAGCTTCTTCACCGCCCAGGGCCGCCATGCATGCAACGACTAAGTTCATCATGGAATTTTCGGGGGCGTAACAGGGATGCAGGGGAAAAGACGATTAAGATAAGAAGTTGGAAAACGTATGGCGAGCTCAGAGATTATCGGCTTTGGCGGTGCTGGACAACTTCTATATGAATATATCCTCATAATTGCATTGTCTTCTTGTTCCTAGCATGATGGGGATCTTCGCACTGGCTTCACAGCTTTTCGTTATCGTCAAACATTCATCTCCAATCACTTCTTGTCATGTTCATCGTTTCGCTATCATAATTCGCGTAATATACGTGCATCGTAAGTCGTTCAAGTGCCATATATGACAACTAGTATGTCCAGATCCAAATCTGCAGCTGGAATGAAATCTAACTCTTTCTTCCATAAATTACCAGGCCCTCATCTGCACATCACTTGTCATCATACAGCCATACCCGCTATGCCAACTCCAACAGCTGCAGCAAGGCCCTTGGCCCAGCCTACTCCTTGTGTAGGTGCAGCGTTCACCACGATCGTCCGCGTCACTCCTGTCTTACCAGTAAGCGTACCCATACCGATCGATCCTACGCCTGGAAGTGGGGCGTTCGTCTGAACAGGTTTGAAGTCCAGCGATATAGTGTATGGCCACCAAGTGGAATATGTCCCGCCGATCCATGTCTCAGCCCACACCACGGTGTAAAAGGGTACGTTGCTGAATGGTTTGGCCAATCGCGTAACATCTGCGCCTGCAGTTCCGGCAACATTAATGGATGGAGCTGCCGGCGCGATGGCATTGACGGGAGGTGCAAGAGCTGGTGGTGGTATAGGATTGACGACAGGATCGACAGCGGGAGCAGGTATAGCCACAGGTGCAGGTAATGCAGGCACCAGAAGTGCAGGATCGACAGGAAGAGCTGGGGCAGGTTCTGCAGCTGGTATCGCTGTAATAGTGGCTGGTGGTTGCTGAATAGGCGCAGGGGCGCCCTCGACTGGAGCAATTCCGGGTCCTTGACGAAGCCTATACAATCGTTAGTACCCTATCACATCACAATCTCCATACTGGGAAGTTACTCAATGCCGTCCACGCCAGCGATAGATGTCACAGTAGGCGAACCCGATGTAGGGACCAAAGCTGGGCTCGCGCCTATTGTTGTCGTAGTCTCCTCTACATCTGGCAGATACTCAGACTCGGCGAAGAGTCTACCGCTCACGATTGCCGACAAAAGAAGGACGTAGGAGTCTTGGACGCGCATCCCGACCGGTGCCGAGAGGCGAGAGAAGGACGCTCGGCTGCTGTTGTCAAATGTGAGAGTTTGAGACTGAAGAACCAAAGCCCAACCTCGAAAGCTGACAGACCGACCGGCAGATGGGACGATATCTCGGTGTCGAGCTTCACGTAAGAAAACCGCTGCAGTTGCTCGCGTCGAAGTTGGGAGAATGTTGCAATGCCGCTTGGAATTTGATATGTATCGTACTGCACAGTGGAAATCAACAGGTAAAATCTGAACAAGCCAAAAGAGCCAAAAGCCAAAATTCGAAAGGCTAGAGACGCGCGCGAGCTGCTGAAGCCAAAAAGAGTGTAGACGTGCAGAAAAGAGTGTGGTTGAAAAGCTGCAGTGTTGATACCTCGCGATAAGGATACAGATGCAGCGACTGGACCCTGAACCAGAACAGCAGGAGCGGCTCTCCTTGCGGATAGAAAGCAACTGCCAGTATCTCCATCACGACTGCCGTTATGCATTACAGGAAGGTGTAGCTCCTGCTTCATTGCCACGGTACGACTTTGGAGATGGCTCTAACTTACCGGATCGATCTCACGGCGTTATTTGACACCTGAGCATCGTTTACGCTGCGGGTCGTTGGGCATACCTGAAAGCTCATGCGACTGAAAACATACTTACGAGTCCCTATTCTTGCATTGTGTCCATACACCCTATCCGCGATGCAGTCCTTGGGCTAGCATTCACTGTGTACTGAAGTCGTCGGTCCTGGAAACAGCCGTTAACGGATCTCAGAAACAGCTAAGACTAGTTCCATGCATGTAATTCGAGAGCGCAATGTGGCTATGCAAGCCGCAATCGAAGTCGGAGGTCGTCTTGACAACACGGTCTCGCCGACCTGGTTCATCGCACCACCGGCGAACGCTAATGCAATGCCAAATAAGAACAAGCCTTCTCCCGCTCGATAGTGTACCCCAAAGAGAGCAAAATTGCCGCTACACAGAAGCTTGGGTTTCTGCAAGAGATTGAGCAACGCAGGGGGTGCGCGCAAACACAAGCTCCATGCAGAGCAGGAGGGGATCCGATGCAGCGTCTGGTAGCCAAGGGAGCGATGATAAAGAACGCGTGAGAGTAAGGAAGACAAGAAGAAATCAACTGTCTCCAAAAGCTCTCCGGTGGTAGCGACCTATCTCGATAGGTGTCACAACGAGCTCAACATCGTGTCATCTCACGACGAAGTGTGAAAGCATTTCCTCGCCACTCTCAGCTCCCAATAGACTCGCAGCCCCACTATCACGGGAGTACCTGGGCCGTCTTCAGCAACCGCCGCTCCACCAACATTAGAGTCCAAATTGCCGGTGTGCAACGGCGCCGAGTTACAGGCCCATTACGTCACTGAGCTGTGCAGCTAACCCCAAGTACCGAAACGCACCGGCAGACGCCACAGCAGAAATTTGGCGCGGGTACGGCACTAGACCGCGCGTCAACGTGCAAGTGCAAAACAACACACCGGGGAGAGTTTAGCGGTCGCAGTGGGAGGTTTCCCGGGCCTCGTAGGTTCAGTCTATAGTCGTAGTTTGAGACTCGCGTCGAGTTGAGGTGCAGGATCTTCAGGCAATTCTGGCAAGCTCGTCGGATGAGCTACATGCCGCGAACATGTTCTCTGACAACTAAGTCGCGGACGCGTCCCGACAGCAGGGCAAGATTTCGATAGGCTTGCATAGCGCGTCTGATTGGCGTTGTTGGTCGTGGACTGGTCGAGACGCGGTGGAGGGTCTTCCGACGCTTCCGGAGTGAGGCTCCGTTGGTCGTAGCCCGACCAGCTCCACTGAGCAGGATATCAGCCATCGCGACTCCGATGCTAGCTGAGTAGTTCTTGCGCGTATGCAAGGTACAGTTGTTGCAAACTGGGATCTCTGCAATTGATGAGATGCAGGGCAACACCCTTTCTCATCCTAAAGTGCGTGTCAGAAATGAGATGAGACGAACGACTGCAAGAGCAAAAATTAAGTTGAATTGTTTAATTTTCTTATGGCAGTAGCCATAGGCTAGGATATATCGACGCATAATGGTCTAAGATGGTATCTTCCGGTTCTTTTCTCTTTCCAATGCAAAAACAGGCGACGCGATGGTATGCGGCATGGGGGTATGAGGGCCGAAAGGACGGCTGTGGAACAACAGCTTCCGACGGAGTGCACTCCGATACAATAAGTAAAATCTCTGCCAGAAAGGGCCGAGGTAGAGAAGGAGCCGCTGCTGGACCAGGGCAGAAGGCGTGGGCAAACGGGCTGACTGCGCAGAACCCCGTGCGAAGGGTATATACAAGAAGAGAAAATATAAAAGGGTAAAGACACTATAGGCGGTGCTGCGCCATGAGTATGTTGCTGAATCAAAGAAAGGGTGTTAGGCGGTGCGAAGACGGGCCCGTGTAGAAGTCGAAGTGAAAAGTGCAAATCGGACTGCAGTAGTCGTATTGCTCCAAGAACGCTGTAGAAGTGGTCGTATGCTCATAAAAGTTCCCAGCCCATGAACCCGGATATGGGAACAAGCGCTTATGGTAGGAAGTGGTATTAATCATCCCGATTATGTCTATTACGCCAGCGATAAGCTGAGGAGTGTGACGAGGAATGAAACTGCGATTGATAATGACGGCGCACCGAATATACTAGTCGCACTGCCGGTATAGGTTGTTTGGCCGGGTGTCATATCGTCTCCATCTTGCGAGAAG